CCCAGAAATGCTGGCAATGCAATGCAGTACAGGATGAGTGAGAAAGGAATCATCTGAGATAGGTTTTATAGCATGGCTGCTCCCCTTCACTGGAGCTAAATGGATTCTGGTGATCTGAATTAACTCTGGGGTGATGATTTCTCCTAAGACATGCTCTCTGGGCCTTTCAGGGACACAGTCTCCTCATCAATTCAGGTTGGCTGCTCCTATGTCATACAACCAGATGCAGCATCTCTTCTGCCTCAGCCTCACCTTTGGCCATTAACTCAAGGTATTCCCATGTCTTTTCTTACAATCCTCTCCCACGGTTGATAGTGTGCCAAGTAAGGTGTAAGTTCTGTCCTCCTCTCTTCCCAGCATGCTCATGATATGTTTCAGGGCCACCAGGAATGTGCACTGCAAACACAGGTGTGCAAAAAAAGTCCAGCCAGACTGGGAAGGATTCAAAGGCAGAATTGTGAATTACTTCTCCTTTTCTCTCATTCTCTCCCTCCGAAGCTTGTCCAGGGTCAGAGGTGCTTGCTAGGTTTTCCAGCCTTCTTTTTCTTCACAGGAGAGCACATGTGAAAAATCTCCAGGTGCTCACAGAGAAAGACTTTCAAGCCTCCAAAAAAAGTGGAGCCCCCAGCTGTCATGAAAAAGCTACACATTGTAAGCTCTTGCTGTGCAGAGGAAGGTTGGCTTAGATTTAGTATGAAGTAACACTAGCTGCACTGCACACAGACTGCTTCAGACTCATTAGCATTCCTTTTTTTTTCCCCCAGAACCTACACTTTTGTATATCCAAAGTTTGTGCTCAGTCCAGTCAGGGAATGGCTACTGCTTGAAGCAGAGGAGCAAGTCTAATGAGAGGGAGACTTGTCTCAAGGAGAGAGGGCTTTGAGACCCTCATTCTGCCTCCTGTACACATTGCTTTGAGTTTTGCAAAAGCCTGGGCAACCCTGACCCAGAAAGAGGTGGCAAACCCCTTCCCTGCAGCTGGGGCATCTGCTGTGTTTGGAGCCAGATTTCCAGGAGCAATCTTTCTTGGTGTACTTGTGGGATCACACTGGAAAAGTGGCTGCTGGCAAAGGAGGATCACAAGCAGAAAGTGAATGGCTGGGGGGTGTGTAAAGCAGAGTATAGATGACATGCACACACACATGCACAGTCCCTATAAAAATGCTGAATTCTTCCTTGGGAAGGCAGTGCTTTGTTCTGAATGCCTGTAGTGTGGAGATGAAGTTGGAGGCTAGCCTGGGAAATTCAAGGAACAACCAGTACTGTTTCCCCAGCGTCACCAGCAAACTGAACTCTGAATATGTGTATGAGTGCAGATCCTCTGGGATTCTCAGAGCACTGCTGTTTTTACCAAACAGGCCCCACAATAATACCTAAGTCGTTTCGTATGAAGTTTTACTTGTGACTTTCTGTTTTTCCTGACCTTCACTTCCATGCTGAGAATGTCTGTAAAGGCCCTCTGTTTTCCCCTCATCACAAAGCTTTCAGCAAGTTTTATGTCATGACCCATTTCTAATTTAGTCCTACTTCTGTCCTGAACTAAACCAAAAGATCATGAACAAGTGCATACTCAGTCCTGTCTCATTTTAAAGCCAACTGTACCTCTTCCCATGCAATCCACCTTTCTACTTACAGCATCCATATCCTGTTCAGTGGGACTGATGCTGCAGGGCCTTTCTTTGTGCCAACCAGACACTCCTGAGCTTGGCTTTGATTTTGTGTATCCTTAAAAATGGATACTTCCTACTGCAGTTCCCACAGGTGGTGATAGCCCCATCAAGTCCCCTCAAAGCTCCTCTTTTACAAACTATTTCCAGACCTGATAGTGGTAATTAGTACCAGCTAGGATGACTCTCCTTTTTAGCCCCAGCCCTGGTGACTGGAGGAACAGGCACACATGGGCACTCTTGGGCACAGCCACACTGCCCACATGTGCATGGGCAAACATCACTGCTCCCTCTGCTCTCTTGCCTTCTTTCCCATGGCCCCACCGAGGGAATTTTGGGAGAAATGTCCCAGGTGAGGCCCCACTTGTCCTTTCACTTCCTGCTGAGTGTTGCTGTGTGCATGTGTGTGTGCACACACAAGTGAACATGACACACTGGGAGGATCAGAGAAGAACAGTCTCATGGGAAAGCTGCGGCTTCTGCTCTGTAATCCCACCTTTCACCCTTTTTTCCTGGAAAGCTCTTGCCTCCTAGTTTCCTTCCATGCAGGGGTGACTTCAAAGCCCTTGGGAAAGGAAAACTACTGCTTCATGTATGTCTCCATGTGAGATAATCTCTGCCATTCACCCCCTCTGGAGGTGGGTTTTGCTGCTGTGTATAAGTTCCCAGTCTTAGTGTACCACACGTGCCCTCTCTCCACATTCTTTCTCCTACTGTAGCCACAGCCAGTAAGCCTTTCCATGAAGCATTCCATCTGAGACCAAGGGGAGGCTGGGGAAGGGGGTGGTGCAGAAGGGCAGTAATTTTTTGAGGTTTTTTTTCTTCATTTTGTGTCACTCATCCCAATGTACTGAGCTGACATGAAAGACAAAACAAGCACTATCTCTGTGGGGCCACAGACAGGATGGGAGGGGTGCCTGCCTCAGTGATGGCCAAAACTTGGCCTCCACACATTGGCCTGCATGCCTGTTCTTGCTGCAGAGAATTTGGGCCTGGCCACCTGAAACCGAGAGGCAGAGGCTGAGTTTGGAGGAGGTCCCTGTCCCACCTGTCCAGGCTCTGGGGAGCTCTGATATGGCTTAGGGGAGGGGCTGAGCTCCACCTGGAAGGGTGCTGGTGTAGCAGGAGCAGAAGAGGCCATTTCTGTTCTCCACAATGGCTCATCCAGCGTGGTGGCTGAGCGGGGCATAAGCACAGTGGGTGCCAGGCTGCTGGAGGCTGGCATGGGAGCCGGAGTGGAGAAGCGACGAATCTCCTGGGTCTTGGCTATTTTCACAGGGACCTGCTTGGCTGCCACGAAGGATGAGCTAGCCTGTGGGGTTGGCTGACCAGAAGTAGTCTGAGTGCTGGGGCTTGGGGGATCCCCAAAACAGAACATGGCTGACTTCAATTGATAGGGCTGGTGACGCATTAAATCAATGACCTTGATCCCTGATTTCTGGCCAGGTGCCTTTTTCACTTTGCTCTCTGCTTTGCTAGCCTGAGATTTGCTGGCTGCCAGAGGATAGAAAGGGGAATGCATTGGGTTGTAAGCTATTGGAGGGGGAGCCCGGATGTTGGGTGAATATTTCCAGCATGAGGGTAGAGAAGGGGATGGAGAGGGGGTCCTGGGCTTAGATTCTGGCTTCGGTGTTGTTTCCACCACATATTTGTCCATGCGGCTCTGGCGTTTGGCAAAGAGCTCTGCCCCCTTGCCTTTAAGCTGAGGCATGTCCTGGGCCCCATTGACCAATCCAGCATCTTGCTGAGGCTTGGGGGCCACCGGAGGTGGGGTCTTGAACTTGCGGCCTGAGGACTGCATGAAGTTGCAGGCCTCAGCACCCAGGCTGAGGAAGTCCTCCTCAGGCCCAGACTCAAAGCCCGCTGCAGGGTGGTCACCCTTTGGCTTCTCATCCAGGTTCTGCACCAGAGACAGGAGCTCAGGGTTGGGTGAATTCTTCTTCTTCTCCTCAATCTTACTGAACATGGGTTTCTTGTTGCCCCGTCGGCGAGCCTCCTGCAGGATGCCTGTGCGGGGAGCTGGCACAGCAATCCTCTGCTCCCTGGAGGTTAAGGGCTCTGAAGGAGGTCGTGGCGTTGCTGGAGTTATGGCAGGAGAAGGCTGTTTTGGCACAGGGGAGCTGCTTCTCATGTGCTGTGATGGTGCTGGACTAATATACAATGAAGAAGAGGCTGTTCCAGGGACTCGTGGCTGGGATGCTGTGGAGCCCACATCCCCTCCTGGCTTTGAGGGAGTTGACAGAAAGATAGAGGTGGTGGATGTCCGGGCAGTGTTGGCAGAAGGCTTGACCTCTGAAGCGCTTCCTCCCCCTTTTGGCTGTGACTCCAGTGGTGATGTTGGTCTTCCTGGTGCAGGAATATACAGAGATGTGGAGGAGCTGACTGGACCACGCCGTGTTGGCTCTGGGGCATTGGCAGGTGTTCCTGGAACCAGAGGTGAGAAAGGGGGAACCACTGTGCTTTGCCCACCCAGACTTTCAGTGGGTTTTTTGGGTGCAGGCGGCCTAAAGATGACAGAGGACGTTGCTGGACGCTGGCCAGAAAAGCCAGGAGTAAAGGGCCGTGCAGACCTGTTGAACATGCTTGTTGAACTTGCAGAGAAGGGGTCGGGGGTGCTTGGGGGAGGAGGGAAGAAAGTGGGGCTGGGGGCAGTCAGGAGCTGAGTGGGGACAGTGGCTGGCTGCTTGCTGGGCACTTGCACAGCCTCCAGGTGGATGCTGAGGGGCACATTGTCTGCCTTCTGTGGCACAGGCATATCTCCGTTCACTGTGCCCTGCTTTGGCTGGGCAGCTGGGGCAAGCTCTGGGCTCTTCTGCACTGAAGTTTTCTCAACTGTGTACTTCCCAGCCCGTTCCCTCTGCTGCTCAAATAATCGTGCTCCTTTACCTGAAGCTTCACTCAAACCTTTTTGCTTCTCTTCCTTCTGTTCAGAGTCAGATTTGGACTTTTCAATGTCTAGGTAAGTGTTGTCCCAGTCTGAGTGATTAGTTAGGCTTCGGGCATCAGAGAAACCTTCCTCATCAAATTCAGATTCACTGGTTGGAAAAACTCCGTCTTCCTCCTCGTAGGAGCGGTCTTCATCCACACTGCCAAAGCTCACCAATGTATACTTCTTAGCCCTCTGCCTGCGTTTCTTGAACATCAGCACCCCCTTGGAGTGGGGGTTGGGTGCATCTGTCAGCAGGGATGCAATGGTTCTGCACTTGGTTTTGGCTTCTTTCACATTCTTCTCCTGGATGCTTTCGTGGCGGTGGAGCTCTGGAAGAGATAGAAAGAGGCACTCTGAGAGGTCAGAAAAGGTTGGGTGGGCAAAGGTGGACAGGGAAATTGCTATAGGTCCTCTAGTGAACATAAGAGGAAACACAGCCCTTGCCCTTTTTTTTCATTCCACTTTTGCTGGTTATATAAACTGTCTTTATAAACTGTGTCTTTATAACTGTTGGTAGAAAATCAGGAGCAGTTTTCTCTTTCCTGCAAACACACTAGAAATCAATGCAGGTGTGGGGAGGGAACTCCTCCCACTCCGATGGCCAGTCTAAGTTTACTCATCAGACCTGGGATTTCCTATTTCCAAAGCATGTGAACAAGAGTCCCTGACGTTTTTACAGTGCTTCCCTTGCTTGTGGAAATTTTTACCATTTATTTTTCACCCTGAAGGTGGAGCCCTGCTTTCTGTAGATGTTCCTTCTACCATTTAGAGGATTGCACGTGTGCAAAAGGAGGGGTGCTCTGCAGGCACAGCAGGGCCGCTCCTGATCTAAGCCCTGCAATGTCAGCTCCAATCAGTGTGGTGCAGCAGCATTGTGTGTAGGGCTGTTTGCTGCTCTGCAGCAGCCCTGCCACTGCAGGAGGCAAAGGAAGAATGATTTCATCCTTGCTGTGGTCTCTTCCCTGTGCCCCATGCCTGGCATGGAAGAAGAGTACTTGCTCCTGAGCAAGAATCCCAGATCCCCACAACTGATCAGCCAGACCAGAAGGAAATCCACTTAGACAGGCTTGCTTGGAAAAGACACCACCTGTTGGGACACTGGCATAACAGTGTGGGATAATCATTTTCCACCTGCTCTGTGGTCAGTAAAGCCCCAGGGAGGAGCACTGTATCCTCTGTCTTTGTGTGCAGGGAAAGCAGGTGGTGAACAGGATTCAATAGTAAAACCAGGCTTGTCTGCCAGTGAAAGTATGGACATGCCTTGAATCACTGCTGAAGTGACAGAAGTCAGCATTAGCCTTGCACAGAAAAAAAGCCCCACATACCTAAACCACAGACTAATTTGTGATGTCTTTCATTTCACCCTTTTTCATTGCCTTTTTCCCAGCATGATAGTACAGATGAAACAACCATCCACTGTACATATCTAATAATTTGTCAAAAAAACACCTTGTCCAG